CTGGTGAGGACAAGGGGTAGGTATTGAGAGGCCACGAAGACCCAACCATGCTGCACGACCCATTCTGTCTGTGTCCTTGGTGCCCATCCCACCCATTGCTTCCCTGCTTGCAGCAGGGACCATCTTTCCCTGAGGGGGTTATACAGCTCCTAGAGCTACAGAGCTCTTATTTTGGTGGGGGCCTCTAATTGCATCTGTGATTCAAATAAGAATAGAAAGATCTCTGCTTTGTTTCTATGGAAACCTATATGTGAGCATTTATCCTTATTCTGTATTGTGTCAGCAATGGCTCAGGAACCCACCCATCTGGACTCAGTGACCAGTCAGCAACAGCTTAAGGGCAGAGATGGGAGTGCAGGAGGGGTCCCACACATGACATCAGCCAGGACATCATCCTGGCATTGTCCACCTTGTGTCCTCAGGCCCTTCCCATCTGTTCTTATGTGAGACACGCCTCTTCTCGCTGCTTGGGCCAGTGAAAACCCTCTAGAGTACCTCTATGCTCACAAATGCAACTTTTTTGTGCCTCTCCCAGTGGTGGTGGCTGCCAGTAGTAGAAGAGGCTGCAGTCTAGACAGGGGACAAACACCCCTTCCATTGTTGCAAGACCTGTGCTCTTAGCACTTTCAGAGCTGGAGCTGCAGTGCTGGGAGCCATAGCCAACCTGTGGAGACTTCACAGCCAGACTGTTCAGCCTGCTAGGCGGGCACAGTTGCTCAGTTCCTCCCTGCTGGTCTCCTTCGGCAGCTGCTGCACATGCAAAGCTTCTGATAAGACTTGTTCAGAAAGGAAGGATGGTCCGGTAGGCTCCAAATGTGGCCTCAAATGTGAAAGTCTCCTGCTCTGTCACAGGCTGCTTGTGTGACCTAGCTTAGTTACTTAGCCTTGCTGTGAACCCTTTGTGCAAGTGATGTAATGGCCTGGTCCTGCCTTATAGGGTGTTGGGAGGATAAATACACAACAGAGCTGCCTCCCCATCCTCTGGCAGGAAGGATGTGTAGTAACTTCTGTTCAGACACACGTGGAGCTACTGTGTTGGGGGCCCTTTCTCTGCGCCACAGGTACTGAGAGCACTCTGCGAGGAGGGAGCCATTCTGAGCAGGGTATGCACCCCGAGCAGGGCAGCGGGTGCCCGCCTGTGGCAGGAGAGTGCGGGGGGCACGGAGGGTGGGGAGGGTGCAAGATGAGGGATGCCAGTCCTGGATGATATAAGAAATCCCAGGAGAAGGCTGACTGGAGGCATGTCCATTTGTGTATTGGGGAGGGCTGAAGGTTGCGAGGCGTCAAGTAGGGACACAAGTATCTGAGCAGGGCCTGAGAGGAGTATTTTGTGCAGGGCCAGAAGAGGGAGGTGAGTTGGGAGGGCAGAGGCGTCCAGAGCTCATTAAGTGCAGAGCAGGGTGAGGGGAAGGGAAGTCTTATCTGCCAAGGGAACTTCAGGCCCTGCTGCTACTGCTAGAGCAGTGTCAGCTCTGGCAGAAACAGTTCCTGGAAGCCGATGCCGGTGCCCTGTTTGCTCCCTCCCCTGCAGATGGATATGTGTTGGGGGCAGAGCGGTACCTGCTCTAGCAAAAGCCCCCAGGGCAGGGCGGGGGATCACCATTCTGTTTGGCCCACTTCCCCCGCCCCCCGGGATACACTGCATGGTGCGGCACTGCACTGCCCTGCACTGCGCAGCCCCTACAGCTGCCCCTGCTGTGGCAAAGACTCCTGGCAGGGGGCTTGATCCTTGCACCCCCTTATAGTTGGTGCCTGGGGTTGGTGTCCCACTTGCCCTGCCTTAGTTACACGCTGGGGGGAAGGGAATGGAGATGTGGGGGCAGGTTATATGAGGTGGTGATGAGGTTGCAGGAGGAGCGAAGGGTTGAGGCAGTTGCTTAGGAAGTCCAGCCTTACCCAGATGGCCTTGAGAGAGCCACCAGGGCTGCCTGCCCCCTTCCCGCACAAGGACTCCCCTTCTAGCTTAGCTTGCCCACAGGTCCTGGCCTCCCCTCGCCTTATGGTGTGGCCCCCTGCTCCAGCAGTTTTCAGGGCCGGGAAGGGACACGGGTTGCCATTTTGTCTCCTGCTAGGTTTCTAGGCCAGGAAGAGGTGTAGCCAGCTCTGCTCAGGAAGGAAACTAGTGATAACTTCAGGATCATCGGTCCTAGAGGCCTCAGTCAAGGTGGCATCCTGCTGGACTACATGGGTCAAGGGATCCAGGATGCTGGGAATGGGCTTGGGGAAGGAGAAAGATGGGCTGAGGAAAGGGGACTGAGGGCCAGAGCTCCTGGGTCTTCTCTCTGGCTAAGGGCATGGAGGGTTGCTGGGTGTAAGGAGGCCGAGTGAGGCAGTTTGCCTGCCCCCTCCCCACCCCCCCGCCAGAGGCCATGGTTGCCCAAGGAAGGGAGTGATTCTTTGAGGGCCCTGGACTGCCCCTTCCCCCTGCACAGGCCAGAGGGGAGGCCTAGAGGGGGCTGCAGGGGGGCATTTAGCTGGGGTTGGCTCTGCAAACTCCCCAGTTCAGGGGTGGCAGGATCGGGGATTGGGCTCAGGCTGGCAATGTATGGCCTGTTGTGAGCACAAGCACGTGGCTAAACGTAACACCGGCCGTGCGGCTCGGCAGAGCAGGAAATAACAAGCAAACCGCAGAGGAGACGGGAAATGATTTAGGTAAAATTTGAGCTGTTTTTTCCCGACGGGCTGGAGTGTCTGCACAGCCTTCCTGCTCAGCCCTTGGACCTTTCTGTGCTGCAGGAAGGCTGCAGTGCCCTGTGGTCTCCCTGCCACGGAGCGAGGGGCTGTAGTAGGGGGCAATCCCAGCTCTCCTGAGGGACTAGACCTTAGGGCCCAGCACTGATTTTGGGTGCCTTACTTGTGGCTTCTCAGGCCGGATTTTCAGAGGCCTGAGCCCCTGCAGCAACTGCTAGTCTCAGCTGGTGGGAGCCCGATACCCCAAATCAAGGCAAACATTTTGGCCTGCAGGCCATAGGTTGCCAAACCTGGGCTTAGATTTTTTTTCTCTCTCCCTGGCGTTTACCCACCTGCTACATTTACAGACAACAATCAAGTCACTTGACTGGGATGGTTAAGTCCGGGATGATCCTGCCTTGCGCAAGGGGTTGGATTAAATGATCTCCCTTTCAGGTCTCTTTTCTATGAGTCTATGAAACGCTGGCCTTACTCTGTCCCCAGAGAGCGCTCCTTGCTCTTAGCCCCCGAGTGCTCCACTCCCAAGTACCCACCGCGCTGTCTTCACCCAGGTCAGAGACTCCCAGGAGAAGTCTGAAGGCATTTATGCTTGTTCCAGTTGCATGTTATTCCTGTGGAAGCACAGCTTTCAGGCTGGCACCACATGGCTGCTCTTTGAAAATGGAAAAAAGAACAGAGTTAGGTCACCTGCAGTAGGTGGGGCACTAGCTGGGGACTTAAGAGCCCTGGGTTCAGGTCCCAGATCAGCTAGCATCCCTCTGTCCTGGACAAGTCATTTAAGTTCCCTCGTGCCTCCATTTCCCCATCTGTAAAATGGAGGAGGGGAAGTGGAGAGCAAGCAGAGCATCCTTCCCTGCCATATGGGTCATTAAAAGCTGCCAGGGAGCAACGATACCAGAGTGATGGGGCAATAAATAGGTCCAGGTTCACAGTCTTGTGTCATTTGTCATGATACTGGTGGTTTGTGACAGGAGATTGTATAGCTGTTAGCGCTGTGCCAAGACCTACTGAATTCCTTTTGCACCAGACTCCATGTTGCCATTCGACAACAACAAGGAACTGCTGGTCTGACCCAGACTTGCCTTAGCAGCCCCAGCAGAAACAGAAGGTTGCTGACCTTCCTACTGAGGCCCAGAAGTGGCCCTCCATCTCAGAGTTACAACCAGACTAAGCTGCCATCTCCACCATTGCAGTTCCCAGGCTGGCTGCACCCCTGACCTTTACTGATCTCTGAATGCTCTGGCTCAAGTGATGGGTCTCAGTCAGGCAGCTGGTTTGGGGGGGAAATGTGATTCTCCTCCTGGCCCTGTCTCCAGGCACTAACCACGATTTCCTCAGCAGGCCTGAATTCAGTGCCTGGAGTTCGACTCCTCAGGATCGGTGATGAGTGAGCAGAAAGCCTGATTCCCATGCAAAGGCTTGCTCACTGGGAACCAAAGTATTCCAGAGAAGACAGAACTCGAGGCAGTAGGCTGTCTGTATGCACGCCTGCCTCCCCATCCCAGGACCTAGTTCTCACTGGATTATACTGTTCTTCCCACAGGCAGTTCACTTCCAGCCTTACTCCCCACTTCTTGCTCCAGACAGTCTTTTTAACTGTTTAGTGCCCTTTTGGTCCTAGCCTGGGCAACACAGCTGTGTGGCTGTGGTCTGGAGCCTGGAAGTAGTATCTTTGCAGTTGATAGTTTGGCTATTGTCTTGTAGTTGCCCCTGTGCATTTACTAGGAGGCTGCTTATCAAGAGCCATCGTGTTCCTTTACTTGTTTTTTCAGCAGTCTCCTATTAAGTTTGATGAATACTTTCATGCAGAAAAGCCCCATAACTCCACTGCACTGCCCAGGGTACATGCAGGAGTCCTACTCTTGCTACTGATCAGTGATCCTGGATGAACAGCTCCATTCCCCCAGACTTGCATCACTGCCAGTGAGTTCCTTGTCACAGGGCAGGCTTAGCTCACTGCTCAGGCTGAGATCTTCAAAGGAGTCTATAGGATTTGCGTGCTTAAATCCCATGGAAACTCCCACTCTTGACCCATGGGGAAAGAGGAAGGTGTCCTCAGGAAGGGACATGGTGGGGCTAAAACATCAGTTTCCCAGCAGAGACAGGCAGTTCAAAAATGCCTGAAATTCCCCTTGTAACCAGCAGTCGCATCAAACTCCCACCTCCTGCCCCCCAGGATAGCAAATGTACCCAGTCATTTTCAAACATAAAGATACCTGATATGCAAACCATGAGGTCAGAGAGATTTGCATGGGGAGACAGAGCAGCTCTGTTGTAACAGCTGTGCTTCTGCTGACCTTTCTTTTCAGGTATCATCGGGGCCCATCTCAGACCCTGCAACGAGAGAGCATTTACCTACACCCTCTGACCCTAGGACTAAGCAAAAGAAGCAGGAGGAAGGAACCATGTTCCAGGCCACAGCCCCTGCCAGCGCAACCTCCACCCATGTACGTATCCTCCTTGCCCCTGGGATTCACTGTCTCAATTAGGGAGAGTCAGAAAGACTTGCAGGGGCTGCATGCCCTCTTCTGTTCTCAAGGGCACAAAGTGGGCACCGAACGCTGGGAAATGTGCATGCTCTGACTTCAGGATGTGGTGTTTAGGTTGAGTAATCAGCCATGATTATTGCTGCTCCAACAGTTAAGCTCTGATAGGTATAGCTCATACAAATCTCTTCTGTTTATCTTCAGCAGCAGCTGGGCTGTATATAGAGGGTGGGGAGCCAACCTTGGCTAAGAGAGCTGTGGGTGTCTAGAGCTGAGGTTCCATGTTCGCTGCATGCTGATGTGATGAGTGCTGGGTTGCAAAGGCAGATTATCCCAATTGAGAACAGATGCTTTGAACACAGCCTGCCGTGACACGAGGGCTGGTCCTTTTCACTCCATCATGGGTGTGAAAACACTCACTACCCCAGACAGTTTCACACTCAACATGATCATGCCCTAGCTCAGAGCACCATTTTCCTCATTTAAAATATTTCAGTCATCCAATCAGGGGAAAGAAATAATGTTACATGACTTAACGGACAAGTTCATTGCTGCCCCTTTCACTGAAAAGAGCAGCTTGGGTTAAATCGGGGGTGGGCAAAATGCAGCCCGTGGGCCAGATACAGCCTACCAGACCATTCTATCTGGCTTCCAGGGCCCCTCAAAATTTAGAAAATTAATATTTATCTGCCCCTGGCTGTCTGTCACGTGGCCCTCGACGGCTTGCCAAAACTCAGTAAGCGGCCCTCCACCCGAAATAATTGCCTGCCCCTGTTATCTGGTAGATACAACTGCTAAGTTAGAAGGAAATTGGGGTCAGGACTGAATGAGGGATTCAGCCAGGCCCAAGTGATTTCAAGGCTATCTTTTCTCACAAGCTCAACATATGAGGTGCATGTCAGGCGCGCAGCGTGCCCCACCTACCTACCTGCTTTTGCTCTGCATAGAGGGTGCCCTCATTGCTGCGCTCAAGATCTCTGGCTATGGCGTGTTGGGGTGCCGTCATAAGGGGCATTTGCGGTACAGCTCACTGTGGCATTTCTGGGTTTGGCATGGGTAGAGCAGGAACCGGCAGGCAGAGCACTCTCTCCAGAGGAAACAAATGGACCTGACCTGCCTGGTTGAATCAGTGGCCTCAACTATATGGCTGCTTCCCCCTCTCTTGCTATGCTGACTTTTTATTTGTGTTTCCATGGCTGCCTGTAACCACAGTCAGGAGCATGTGAATCATTTAGGCTCCAAGAAGTTAGAGACAGAAAAAAACTCAAGTACATCCCTGACTGGGACAGGATATAGTCCTTTCCCCAGGGAGGATGCATGAGATATAAGAGAGGTCACAGGCTTGATCTGAGGCAGAAGGCTGCTGAAAAGTGAAGAGAAATGGGGGAGATGGCTTGTTGCTCTAGAAACAGGTGTGTTTTGGCTTGAAGCAGAGCGTGTTTTATAGCACGGCTATTGAGCACACTGAGAAGACCAGGCAGATAGATGGACAGAGCTGCCCCCTTTCCCAGCAGCTGCGGGGTACCTGGAGTCTGTGGAAGTTTTGCTGTGGAGTTAACTCCCGAGGAAGGAGCTGCTTTATTTCTAAACCCTGCTGCTGCTTCTTTCCAAACGGGAGGCTCCAGCTCCTTCTCCGGGGCCTCTATTCTCCTTTCCACCACTGTCCCTCCATTGACCTTGGTGTGTTACTCCAGGCTTGTGCTGACATGAGTGTAAGGAAGCTGCTGGTCTTCACTGCATCCTGCCAGGCACTGAGAGCAGCTGGGATACATCTGAGGAGGCAGCTTGTCAAAGGAGAGTTTCCAGTGGGCTTCTTATACAAAACAATTCCCAAACAGAAATAGTTGGAGGGGAAGCGGGGAGAGACAGAGAGATGCAATGGGGCTGGGAAATGAGGATGAAGGAGGAGGGGGGAGTGGCTCTGGAGAGCTGAGGACAAGATGACTCTTGTCCCAGCAAGGCACGGGAAGGACTGAGGAGGCTGAGGGAGTGCAGTGGATAATGCCTCAGGGGTGATGCAGGAATTGTGCCTGGGTGGGAGGCAGGAGCTACCAAGCTCAGAACAAACATGGACTGATGGTGACAATGCTCCAGGCTTGGGCTAAGTGGAGGGCACGGCTAGATGCCTGCTCATGCCTTTTAGTTCCTCAGTGGCTGGCCCTGGCTCTCTGCATGGGGCTGGGACTGCATGCAGCCAGTTACCCCAGACACAGTGAGGGCAGACTGTCAGGGATTTGCACCCAGGGTGCACCAGAGCAAGCAGACAGCTGCAGTGCAGGGCTACCGCAGTGCGTCACCGTGGACTGGGATGGAGGCAGTGAGGCGTGGGGGGGGGAGGCAATGAGGCAGGTGGAGCCCTGTCCTATCCATAGCTGGGGGAGATGATGCAGCTGAAATGTAGGTCAGGGGAGGCTGTGTGCTGGAGTGCAGGGCCCAGGTGCACACACCTGCACCACTTCTGGCAGCCTCCTTCATGCAGAGCATTGGGGCAGGGATGGTTTGCATAAAAAAGAGGCCTGCAATCCAGAGCTGGTATTTGCTAGTGGCTGCCAGCTTTGTGGAGTAGGACCAACAGCGCTGCTGGCCTGGTAAGTCCTAGGGGGCTGGCAGGCAGCAACAGTATGGGGGGGGGGCACCTCACACAGCTCCCCTCCACACTGGAACCACTGCCTCCTTGGTGGGTGTTTGAATGGCACATGCCCCAGCTGAGCTGCCTTGCACCCCTGCATGTTTCCAGACCTTTGTCCTTTGCCTTCCCCTCCCCCTCCCTCTTCTGCAGAGAGTTGTGAAAGCTTTTTTATCTTGCCTGTTGCTTAGGCATTTCCTGTGGTGCTGAGGAGCGTAAGGGATGGGTAACAAAAGCACGGAGCAGCAAACATGTCTGCCAGAGAGAGTAGGGAGGGGAGCACCAACCCACTGGTCCCCTGGGTGCTGTGCACTGGTGAACCTTTCTGTTTGTCTCCAGGCAAAGGCCTGTCATGTTCATCAGTTGCAGGGCTTTGCTGCTGTGCGAACCCCTGCAATGAGGCACAGGCAAGCCTCGCTGGGACAGGTGTGCACATTGTGCAGGGTAGGGATCCAGAAATGAAAGGGTGAATTCTTTTGCTGCCCTTGCCCATGGGCTAACCTGGAGTTCAGGGGAGGGCTAGGGGAGCAGTAGTCTGCAAAACAACAAACCCTAAATCACCCTTGAATCAGGATTGCAACTAAGGTTGGTCTAGCATAATCCCAAGCAGGGACATTAGCTGGCACCACCCTCTCCTGTGTCATTGCAGGGGCACCTCTGGCCTTGTGCACTGACACCTGCAGCTTGGTTGCCCAGTACAGTGCAGAGATGGTAATAGCAGGCACTGGAGTTAATATGGCAGGGGTAGGGGCACGGGAGCAGCTGCCGTATACTTGGTGTGTTTATTACAGTGATTATACCTGGCTTCCTGGGCCCAGCCTCAGTCCTCAGGGCCAGGTTGCTAACTGCATAATCATCCCATCCCTTGATTGTCAGAGGTGAGAATACTAGTTCAGGAGCACCGACTATGACCAGGAGCTCTTCTTAAGCTTTAGGTGACAACAAATAAATCCACTGTGTAATTAGTTGGTTGAATACTGTGGGGTTGCCCTGGGACTGGTCAGTTGGCTGCTTTGTGGGTAGGACTCTGGCATGGGACCCAGGAGATCCGCCCTGCTCCACACTCCTTCCATAGCTCTGGGCATGTCCCCTGAAGTCCAGGTACTTGTGTCCTCCTCTGTAAAATGCAGGTGACGTGTCCTTATTTCTCCTATTTTTGTCCATCTTCTATGTGGCTATGAGCAATTTGCACCTCTGGGTGTGTGTAGGGCAGTCAGCAAACAAGGACCTGACACTTAGGTATTGCCTCCAGAAAAGATCCAACCCCCCCCCCCCCCCAACCCACCCCCCAACCCCCGGGTTCCTTTGCTCCTTCAGGG